TGACTACATTATGTACTTTTCAGCAGATGGAGTTTGGGGATTCCTGTGAAATTGTGAAAGCAACAGCACAGAGACTCAGCAGAACAGAGCTAAGGGGGAATAACAGGTAAATACATCCAAAGGGCAACAAACAACAAAGGTAGGGTCAGGATATGTTTAAAAACATCACAAATAAGAGATTCTGGATTCATAAGAGAGTTTGAATTTTTCACTACCAAAGAGTTTTAAGAATGGTAATATTTTATAAGAAAAATATTAAAATAGAGCAACAGAAACCAAAAAATATTAAAAGCATACTGCTTCATTATAAATTCAGTCTAAGCTGTTCTAGGTATTTCCAAACATTTCATGTTTTAATTGGCTTCCCAGGCAGATATCTTAGAGTCAACAAGTCACATCCACTTAATCTTGTATTGATTTTCTAAGATGCTTCCTGTTACTATGACTACCCTAATCAATTAAATTCTTGTAAGATGCAAGACAATTTTCTCTTTCTCTTTTCCTTCCGGCTAAGAATGAATACTTTATTTCCACAAAATATATCTGATGTTGCCTCTTATCTATCAAGGGCCGCACTGTGTTGGTAAAAAAATCTTTTATGCCTTTCATTTAAAAAAAAATGTTTGAAGATTCTGCAAAGAGAAAGCGTACAGAATTGCCTTGGATTGGTATAATGAGTGGCTTACCAATTTGTGGTTGTGAGGATAAAAGTTCTCTGGCTAGCAGAAAAGTGCCTTGCCCTTGCCCTTCATCACAGGGAACTGGGAGGTTGGTAGTCACTCAAAGAGACCACTCACTGGGAAGAAGAAAATGGTTCTGCCACTTGGTGTCCAAAAAAGTGCAAGGTCAGCCATTTGTGACTATTTTAATACTGTACTATCCCAACAAAGAAATTTCACCTGTACTGAAATGTGAGGATTTTTGGCATGGGGGAGGAAAGTTACTTTAACCTGAGGCTACCCATTTTTTCTTAGGCACAGCCCTGGAAACAACAGAAACAAGGGGGCATGGGAGGCACAAACTATTGGATGTAAAATAAGCTCAAGGATGTATTGTACAACATGAGGAGTATAGCCAATATTTTGTAATAACTGTAAATGGAAAGTAACCTTTAAAATTGTATCATTTTTTTAATTAACAGAAAACCAGAAAAAACAAGATTCAGGAAAGACATTCATTCTTTGGAATCAGACAACCTGGACTCAAGCCTTGAGGTCAGCTGAGAAAATTCAGGTAAGCATCTTAAACTCCCTGAAGTTTCATTATCTGTCCTACAAAATGGGATCAATATAAGTACCTCTAGGGTAGTCTGGGTGTTCTCTATATCTAAGCCCTCTCCTATGATCCAAGTCAATTCTTCTACCCAACAGATCTTTCCAAAGAAGAAGAGTGACCAGGTCACTTTCCTGTCCCAAAGGTCCCCATGTCTGGAGTACACAGGTCAAACCACACAGCATGCCTTCCTCCAGCCCATAGGGCCAGGTCTCAGCCTGCCCTTCCCAGATCACCTCTGGTCATTTGTTTCAATTCATTTCTCACTCTAGCCATATTGAAACTGATTTATCACATACTTTCAATGCTTTGTAGCTGTCTGTTCAAGGCACCTCCCCCAAAGTTTCCCTGCCCCAAATGCTCTTCCTGTCCTTATTCCCTTAGCAAACTCTTGCTCCTCCCTCAAGGCCAAAGCTATCTCCACAATCACCACCTTTCCAACTGTGCCTGGAGTTTCTCCCAAGAGAAACAAAGATTAATTTTCACCAGGTAAAAAAAAACTCATGTTTTGTTTGGCTTCCAACGAGAAAAAAATATATTATTTGGCATCTAACATGAAAATATCTAGATGCTATTTAACCACAAAATAAGTGATTTTTAAAAAATGGAATCTGTCTATCTATAATCTGAGCACTAAAAGCAAAATACGATATTTTTCAGATTCCCAATCATCTTTAAGTCTTCACAGCCTAGGTAGTCACTGAATTGTGAGAAAAACAGCACACATCCAGGAAAATTTGCCACTTGAAAAATGAGCTTACCCACATCAATTACTTTGATCATTAGTATCACCTGCGAGGTGTATTATTTCTAATGTAATACTTTAAAATTGGTATAAATGAACAGACTGACATCCAAACAAGTTAAGTAATTTGCCCAAACAAGTTAAGTAATTTACCCAAATATTTGATATGTGGCAGGGCTGCCATCCAAACCCAGGTCTGTCTGCCCCTATAGCCTGTTTCCATCCTTCAACAGTGTCTCTCTATTGGCCTTCCACTGTGATCACAGGTGGATCTTACAGCAATGGTCTCTGTGTTTTTATCCAAAGTATAAGGTGCTATCTCTAGCTGGAGCAAAATACCTGAGGAAAAAGGGGATTGGTGTATGCAGGTAGAGAGGTTATACAGTCACCTCTGTATAAAGGAAGAGAGATGGGCCCTCTTCAAAACACAGTTACATCCCTTAATAATACACATCATTAAATGTTTCCTCCTTGGCACTAGACCCACTGGTAGCTTTTCTTACTTTTAGTTTAATTCCCTAGGATATTTTTTTGTTTGCCTAAATAAAAGTAACATATTATAGCAGAATGATAGCATGATACAAATTATCACTGAGTTATTAAAAATATTCTCACCTCTTAATTTCCCTGACTGGGTTAATTGGAAGGGGTTTATTATTGTGGTTTTGGTGGTGGTCTTAGTGATGGCGGTAGTTGTGTTTAACAATCTAAAATTGTGCATATGTGTCTTTACTTCAAACACTTTACGGTTTCACGCTAATCTCAAAAAAAACAGTTTATTCATGCTCTGCGTGAAACATATCAATACACAATAATATTTCTCACATAGTAAGTACAAAATAAAACAGAGTCTTAATTAGAAAAGTCAGAAAACGTTACTTCAGTATGAAAGTAAATATGAAATCACACATGTCACAATGGAACATTTTTAGCACATCTTATATTCTTATTCAGAATCACCATTGTTTATAGATATCGATATAGACATAGACACAGACATAGACATAGATATAGAGCATTTAAAAATTAATTTGAACTAGAGAAAAAATAGTTTAAAAGTTAGTAACATGTCAAATTTATTCCCAGGAGGATCTCCCTCCTTTTAAGTGGCTTCCCAATTGGCAACCAGGAGGAATCAACCCTGCTTACTCAGTCTGGGTCCTGGGAGCAAGGAAAGGGGATGGGGACAGTGATGTGGAATAGAGATAAGGCAGTTCAGCAGAGGTCCCTGCAGAGAGGGGGACCATTTCCCTGTCTAACACAAGCACAGAGGTTTAATCTGACTGTAGCTCCTGTTGGGCTGACCCTCAGCACTTAAAAAGTCTTGATTGGAGCCAGGGGTAATGGGGAAGTTACCAAACGTGTCCAAGTGGTCAGTTTTTTCCTCCACCGAGGACTTATCATATTACTATTAAATGACTCCATAAAGTGTGTAAATTAGCAAACAGCAAGATATTGAGTCTATCTTTGAGTTCTTTGTTTTTTTCAATTTTTTGGAAATAATATGAGTTCTCCAGTTCTACATATGCTGAAGGCCTAGACTACCCCTCATGCCAGTTAAATTGGGATCACGATTATAAAAGGCTAGGTTACCATTCTGTGTTATGTAATATGGTTGGTGGTGACCAATTTTCTCTATAAAGTGAGGAACACTTTACACGCTGATGGCAGGAGGGCAGAATTAGGACTGATTCTACATGATACACACATTTCCAAGCACTGTGTTTCCCCATGCCCTCCCAACTCTTATTAACTGTCTCTATGGAGTTAAAAAGAAAGTGTAGTTCAAGATAAGGCAGGAGCAAGGCTGACTCAGCAAGAGCAACTCAGGAAACCTGCATCAGGGAAAACCTATCAGAGAAAAGGATCAGTGTGTCTTATTCACTCCAGGGGCAAAACCCAAACTGTGAATTCAATTTGGTTAAGATGTCCTGCTGCTTGGAGAAGTGACCTTTTTTTAGAGGGCCATCATCCTTCAATTTAGGTGCCTATAGACACAGTCAGAAATTACTGTGAAGCAGAGATCTAGATAATTTTGGTTGTTCTACTTAAAAAAAAAAAAAAATCTAGCATCCTGAACTAATGAATGACAACGATAAAATTAGTTATTTTGTGATATTTTCAGTGATAAACGTTATAAAAACTAACTGCTGCAAACTTCTAAAAAGCATGTTGAACATACTGAGAATAAATACTGAATAACCTCACTTAAGAATTAAGTTGCAAATTTTTTTAAGAATTTAAATTTTATTCCCTAAATAGTATATATAAAGTAGCATAAAGCCAAGCAGAGAGCAGAAAAAAGACACCTTAAAACTTAAAAAGAAATCGTCGATATTAGGTTTATAACATGCCACTAAATAATAACTGATTTTCCATTTTATAATTCCCAACCAGTTAAATGTCATTCATTGGAAGATGCACCATTCCTCTGTCAACTCCACATCACGGCCCTTCCACAATTAAAAAAAAAAAAAAAAAGAGCAAAAAAAAAAAAAACCCAATTAAGTATAAAGAAGTAATTAAAAACAGTGATTGCATATCTTAGATACCAAAAAACATTGATTGATTGGCTTTCCAACAGTTGTTGGGCAACTAAATGGAACAATGAAGCAAACATTTAGCTAATTAACAACTATACACAGAAAAGGAAAGAAAAACAAACAAACAAAAGCCTAGATAGCTAATAATTAAAATCCAGAAGATGTTGCTTGTTCTGATTATCAAGCTAAAAATCCCAGATCATCACTGGCACTTATAGACATAGTGAGGGCTTAGTGCCAAGTGTCACAAGCTTCCATTCATTAAAAGGCCCACATCTTCTAGCTTTTCTTCTATGATCCTTTGTCCAGTTAGTGTTTGTGCTTGAAAACTAGTTTTTTAAATGTGCTTTTATTATTCCTTAAGTAAGATCTTCTGTTGTTCTACCACAGATAAGCCAAACATGGGAGACTGAGAAACTGGGTAATTTGTAAATCATTACCTGAAGGCCTTCGATAGCCAAGCGCAGCATGCTTGGTGTAAGTTTAGAGGCTTGCTTGAAGGTGAAGTTACTCCAGTCTATGATCAAAACAAATCCATTCACTTGAAGCTCGGGATCTTCAATCATGGCTTCTAAAGAAAGTAAGATGGCACGCAAAATATCCACCAGTGTGTACCTATCGGCAACAGAAAAGGGCTGCATTAAATCTGACAACCACTTGTGTAGAAGCTATAGAAAGTTGTGAAGCATACTAAAAATTCCCTTTTAAACTACATCAGGAATCTTAAGGAAATGATTTTGTTTAAAAATCCTCTTTTAAGATGAAGTTTACTTTATTCGCTATACTCAGGGGACATAGTAGAATTTAACATGCGTTCTACCAAAACAAATTCCAATGCTTTTGAAAATACTACAATTTGTTTCCTTTTCCTTTCCTTCCAGGCCTTGCTATGAGTTTGTAAAATCTCATTTCAACAACCCTAAAACTACGCATGGTACTTTTAAAGAGCTCAAAGAATGCTCTCAGTAGTACTGACATTTCATATCTCCACATGTGGAAAATTTGAGAATGAGATTTGAAGGAGTTTCATCAATAAACAACACTATACATAAACAGTTATAATTGAAAGGGTCAACAGATTTTAATTGTACTGAGTTTATATCATAAAGATAAAAGAAAATAAAAGACAAAAAGGAAAGGTGGGATGGACAGAAAGAAAGGGAGATCAATGAAAATAAAAGGGAAAATGTACCTGTCTGTTATTACATAGGCCATCCAAATTTAGGGGTCAAGACTTTATCTTTTTCTACCTTGCAACTTAGCACAGTGCCTGGCACATTGTAAAAACCCCATAAATGTTCTTTACTTTCTTCTAAAATGGAACTAGACTAGAGTGCAAAGACACTAATTGTGCATTAAGACACTGCCTCAACGAAGGCAGCGGAAGTAAGAAGAAAAGAAGCCAAATTTGAGAAGTATTTTAGAGGTAAACTTTTTAAAATTTAATAATTAAATGTGAGGGCTAAGATTGAGGGAAGAGTATAAGATGACACACAGATTCTAGCTTCAGTCTGATTAGATGGTAAAAATCTTTCATCAAAATCAATAGTGCAAAAAGAGGATACAGTTGAGGATGGCTGGAAATGTGGAATTTGGAATAGTATCCGTTGTACTTGAGAAACATGTAGTATACCCAGAAAGATATATCAAGTAAACATCTGAAAAAGTAAATTCCAAATTCAGGAGAGAGCTCAAGATTGAAAATTCCAGAATCAAAAGCACACCAATCCTACGTTCAAGGAAGTGGATGAGGTAATGCAATCTGAGCTGAGAAGAAAATGAGATAATTACTCTAAGAGGGAATCCCAGCATTTCAAGAGGGATTAGTAAATTTATGGAAGATGTTAACAATTTTCCGTTTTTAGCAGCCTGCATTTCAAGTTTACTTTTCTGCTCAGACATTCAGATGGAGGTATCTGGGAAAAGCGAGAGAAAGAAATCCTGACCTCAGGGGAGAGGTGGTGTGGGGAGGGGGGTGGATTAGGAGTGGAAATCATTGGGATTCAGTGGAAGCGATGGGCTCACCAGGAAGATGCATGAGACAGTGAGCACATGTGAGGGAGTAGTTCTATTTTGACTTCTAAAAACATTTGGAGGCGAATGGAGAAAGTGTAGTAGTTCAAAAAGGAAGGAATAATTAACAGTGAAACCTCAGGCAATTTCTCACTTTCTCTGGGCCTCATTTCCTCATCTGTAAAATCAGTAGTTTGGAATAGAATCTCTTTAGGGTCCCAGCATTAATCAAGCAAAGGGCGTGGTGTCAGAAGACTTCAAGACGGAATCTCTTCCTGTCCCTCATTAGCTGTATGGCCCTGGACATGTCAATGATTTATCATTCTGAGGTTTAGTTCCCTTAAATGAGAGTATCTATGATTATCTCACTGCATCTCACTGGCAGTGGCAAGGTGGGAGGAGGGGGTATGGGAAGGGAAGTCAAAGACATGATTCAGGTGAAACCATTTGCACAATGCTAGGTATGTAGCATGTGTTCAGTAAACGTTGGTTGGAATACACACATAGCACGCTTTTCACTGTAATGGTAACCACAGACATAGGCAGGGTATGATCAGAACTAAAGAATGTTTGCTTGTAAATTTTACTTAAAAATTAACAATAATCTTTAGATAGCTTATTACTACTGTGAAAGGCAAGGATCAAGAGATTATGTTTAAATCTCTGGAAAGTATACAGGGTATTTATAGGCCTAAGGCTACGGCATCCCAAAATACTACAAAAGCACATGAGATAAATTTTTTTGTAGAGCTCTGTTAGCTGTCTTTAAATCTGTGAAATATGAATGACTGAATACCTTTATCTGTCACTTCATGGCTGGCTCATCTCCTTTTTAAACATAATGGCCTAACACAGTATTGTGACCGAAAGCCTATAAGCCTACACAGACTGGAAAGTTGGAGGAGGAAGGCTTTAGTTCTGGTTAAAATTTAGAGCTACCCCCTCTAAAAAAGTATTCACTTTAATTTCTGAAGTTCATAATAATATCACAGTTAAGAAAATTAAAAATTAGAACAATCCAGTTTAGAACTTCCCCCCATTATGATCATTCTTACATTTCCTATAAGAATGACAAATAGCATTAATACCAAACAGCCTTAAGTAAAAGTGGAATCTGAAATCGGCTTTGGAAGAACGTTGCACTGTATGTATGAAGAATAAACCATGGCACCAGTAGGGCTGAAAACAAGAGGCAATTTGTTTTAAGTAACACATTTTAAGTTTGGTTTTTCCAAAACTGTGTCAAATCAAGAGAGAAACTTATATACATATCATTATTCCAAAGGAAAGGAAATAAGGCAAATCCCAGGATCATCAATAGAGAAAAGCAGGTTTGCAAAGTTTTCAAGGGTAAATCTAACAATGGTTTTTTTAATTTAATATCTTCTTCCAAAAAGAGAATTAAGTGATTTTTATATAAATTATACTAATGTATAAGTTTAATAAAAGAAACATAAAAACATCCTAGCTAACTGAATTCAAAGGGCAGGTCAAAACCACTCTTGAGGGCTTCCCTGGTGGCGCAGTGGTTGGGATTCCACCTGCCGGTGTGGAGGACACGGGTTCGAGCCCTGGTCTGGGAGGATCCCACGTGCCGCGGAGCGGCTGAGCCCGTGCGCCGCAAGTACTGAGCCTGCACTCTAGAGCCCACAAGCCACAACTGCTGAAGCCCGCGCACCTGGAGCCTGTGCTCTGCAGCGGAGAAGCCACCGCAACGAGAAACCCGCGCACTGCAGCGAAAAGTGGCCCCCGCTCGCTGCGGCTAGAGAAAGCCCGCATGCAGCAACGAAGACCCAAGTCAGCCAAAAATTAATTAATTAATTAATTTTTTAAAAAAAAGCGCTTCCCTGGTGGCTCAGTGGTTGAGAGTCTGCCTGCCGATGCAGGGGACGCGGGTTCGTGCCCCGGTCCGGGAAGATCCCACATGCCGCGGAGCGGCTAGGCCCGTGAGCCACGGACGCTGAGCCTGCGCGTCCGGAGCCTGTTGCTCCGCAACAGGAGAGGCCACAACAGTGAGAGGCCCGCGTACCGCAAAAAACAAACAAACAAACAAAAAAGACACTCTTGACACTCCAATCCTCTTACTACCATTAGCAGCTCAGCAGGTTATTCCTAAGCAGAACATTATTACATGAGACCTTGCCAAAGTCTGCAAAGTATCTTCCAAAGAAATGGAGCATTTTATGAATTTTCTGTCTTCAGGAATCCTGCTTTCATTATTCTCTTTGAAACTATTTCTGAACTGTTGTATTTTACAAATTAGACGTCACTACAATAAGTATTTCACAAGCTCATGTTTGGGGTTTACACCCCAATTATAGTAGCTCTACCATTGCTATTCTTCCCTTCTATGTTGAAAGAAAGCCATAAACAATAAACTAGCCCATTAATGGAGCTCTTGGCTCCTGACTGTGCTTCCCAAAGCAGCATTAGGTAAAGCCTGAACCTGAAATCAACTTGGAGAGAATGAAATAATGACACCAGTACACCTGGGACTATGTAGACCACTGCTCTTGAAGGAAGTCAAAGCTGCTATAATATGTAAAAAAAAAAAAAAAAAAAAAATTCTCCTATTTAGTACCAGTGTGATCAAGAGCAGGGAAGCTTCTTCTCCTGCCTCTGGCCTTACAAGGTTTTGGGGAGCTACCTAGCCTATGCTTCTCTCCTGGGGTTCACAACGTCTTATCCCCTACTAGAGCTTACAATCAGTGCAAAGAGCAACTTAAATCACAAACAGGCCATTTCCTTCCTATTCTCCAGCCCTTTCTTTTAGCCTGACAAGGAAAAACTGGCATCTTGGCATCACACTGAGCAGCACAAGAGCAAGCAGCTTCCCCTCTGTCACTAAATCAATCAGCCATTATTAAATTCTTCATTAAGGCTGCCCCCAACCCTCAGTTTTCATTATGCCACATTTTCTAAAGTCTGAAGCACTTTGTGTTAGAAAGGTGCCAGGGGAAGAGACAAAGGAGAAGAATTACTTTTATTAATGCCTCAGAGTATCATTAGTGCTAAAGTCAATGAATTCACCAAGGTATTTTATATTACTGAGTGGTAATAATAATATCTCTATCTGTGTAATCGTTTAAGATTTCCAAAGCAATTTCAAACACATTGTCTTAATCTCAAAATAAGCCCAAAGTCTCTGTGCCTGACTTAGTTCCTATTATTTTGGAGATGAGGACACAGATGAGGTCTCAGAGAATTTAGACAGTTTGTCCAAAATCACTATGGGAGTAAAACTGGAAGCCTAGATGAGAAGCTGGGTCTTTCTGACACCCCAGTGCTCTCCACTCCTTATGGTGCCTAGACCTAGAACCGAGTTTGATGAATAGCTGTTCTGCTTTCTCATGTCTCAGTGGCATACTGTGTGTCAGAAGATGGATCAGAAAGTCGATACCAACATGGCGCCAGGCCAGTTACCAGGTTAGCTCCAACCTGGTCTCAGCAAGGGGCTTTGGCGGAAGAAAAGTAACAAGACATTTGTAAAAGTCAGGATGGGAACAGGCTAAGTCTACAAACCTTGGAGGAAATATGAAATCCAAAATAATTAAGTGTCTGGTTTGTACCCCTAGGCACAGATTAGTTGTCTCAGTCTTGCT